TAGCTTAACAAGATGTTCACGTGTCTGCAGAACGCGCGGCAGCTGAAAGCGGCTGAAGGAAAATGGTTTGGGGGAAGTATCGTGGAACAACCATGAATCAAAGTGAGAAAATTGGAGTGACAGCTTGTACAAAAGTTGGTAGCAGGTACACACAGTTGATCAGACTGTGCATTTATGGAGCAAGCATAGCTTTGTTAGCCAGCGTTTGCTTGTCAGCCGCTGGCCCCCTGCTTGTGGAAAAAGCTCTTAGGAATAGAGTGTGAGACACACACAGACAAAAAAAAACAAAACACTATCCATCCCAGTCCTTCATCCGAATGATATCTCCATGCTGGCTTAGAATGATATTGCCCTTCTTCATGAAAGTGCTGATGGCACCATCATAGTCCCGAACCAGGCACACTTCTGCAACTGCATTCGAGTCTTCAATGCCGAGGCTTTGGAGAATGGAGATGAAGTGCTGCTTGAGCTTCTGCTCATATTCTTCATGACCAGCATTCAAGCGGTACGGCAGAACGGTGATATCAACCGCAAAATCTGGAGGTGTCAGATTGGCGTCGTCCGTGGCTTTCACGGCTCGAGGGATGTGGCAAACTTGAAACAAAATACCCCAAGCCAACACCATGAGAATTCCAAGACCATCTGCCAAACCAAGCCATTGCGTCACCTCCTTGAGACGCAGCTCACATGGAAATTGGTTCCAAACACATCGCTCTTGTACCTCTTCATCAGTTTGGCACCGTCCCCCTTCACAAGCTCCCAGGTTCCCTATAGTGGTCATCCCCAAGTACTTGTAGAGGGCGCTGTTCTCATTCACCATGTTGCCCATAATGTTCAGAGTCGAATTGGCTCCAAGCAAAATGGCACAAAGCAAAAAGACCAGGCCCATTTGCCTCAAGAATTGGAAATACAAAGATACTCCAACTCCGAAGACACCAAGTTTGGAAGCTGAAGTGCCGCAGCAAGACTTGTACTTGTAGCGTCCGGTGGCTTCATCATACTCTGTACAGGCATTCTTGTCTCGGTGTGTTTTGGCAACTTCTTGCAACTCTTTGCGGCTTTTGATCTGAACATGAGCTTCCAGGTCTTTCAAATGCCTCCGTGCCTCTTCCTCCATTTCTTCCCTTGGGTTGCTCCCCGCTTCACGGGCTTGTGCCATCTCGGCAGAGCTAGGAATCAAACGGAATCAAAGGACAAAAACGGGACAAATGTCTTTGAGCCCAAAAGCACTCCAAAAAGCAATTTCACTTTGAAGTATTCACAGCCAAGTGCCATGCACATAGTCAACATCAAACGACCGAGAGAACTCCACAACAGTAAAGGCCTTGCCAGGCAAAGGCATTCATCTCACTTTTCCTGGTCAGAATCTGCATCTTAGTATTTGCAAAAGACTTGACTGTTGCTACTGTCTCTACTGCATTGCAGAAAAAGATTTGGTAATTTCCGTCCACCTTGCAACAGTCATTCTGGAAGACATTCCACACTACGCAGTCCTGCTGCGTTTGGCTGGAAGCCAAAAAGCCTTGAGCCAGGAAAAAGCAACGTGAGCAGCATGCCTTGAGAGCAGAAAGGCAAATGTCTCTTTCCGTGCTTTACGAAAACTGGAAATGTCTGGTCTTCTCGAGTTCTTCACAGCAGAAGGCATCTTAGTAGCTTCGTGCTACTAGTAGTAATGCCCTTGTTACGAGTAGCGATGCCCTTGTTAATAGTAGCTTCTTGTTCCTAGTAGCAATGGCCTCCAACCTATGGGTTCAAAGTGCAAATATCAAAAAATTGCTTGACGGTTGAAAGTGCAAATATCTTTTTTCGGGTTCGCCGAGATGTCGGATGTCAAGCGCCCGTGGACACTTGTTTCAGGCCGAAATTGGGAGGTCAACGACTGGAGTAATAAGGGTGACCATTCAGAAGATTTCAAATATCATCCATTGAGCAGTGCAACACATTTCAATTGCGCACAACAAAGCTGCAAAATCATAGTACCGGACTCTGATTGAATTCTAATTCTCCCAACTCAGGAGCTTGGAACAAAGGCAACACTGGCAGCCTTTGTGGCCAAGCAAGGCTACCCACGAACAGAAAGGCCTTTTGAGGATGTTTTTTGCTGGCCATGCGTTGCCCGGACGGCATATTTTGCCTGCATCTAGATCAGACTGGGAATTGTTTGGCGGGATCTTCGCAGGGATGCTTCGATTGAGAAATCCATGTTCCGTTGCAGTATGCCATCAAAATCGTGTTTTCGAACTCCCAAAGAATGGATCAGTAAATCACTTCCCTACCAGCAGAACATCCCCACGTAAATTGCCAAGCTCTCAGAGTTGGCACTAACCCACCATCTGACATTCCGTGAAACTTAGGATTGCGGCTCATGGCTTGAAGAGCCTACGTCAAGAGACACGGTAAAAAGAATCCGATGGCTTTGCTGAATAGGTCGGTCATGAGGCTCTGCCTTGAGAGGTGAAAGCTCTCACAGATTGATGATGTCTGGTGGACTAGCATCCTGGAGAAAAAAAACGAAGCATGGCAGCATCGCACTACCAAGTTCCTCTTCTCTTGTCATCTTTGGTGTCATCTCGTCATGTTCAATATGTTGTCTGTCTCAGGTCCTGCTTCTCGAGGCATTTAGACTCACTGGAGGAGCTGCCAGCCTTTGACCTGCCAAGCACTATTTCATCTACAGCTTTTGTGTTGCCCAAAGGCTCTGCAAACTCTTCAGATCCATGGAGATCTGCGTCTTCACTCCGTGTCTCAGTGTCTTGACCTTCGCAAAGTGTTGGCATCCTCACAACGCAGACCGACCGGCGAGTCGGACTACATGGCGACACGTTTGTTCAGGGCTCCCAAGGACCACACCGGAAGTCCATTGGTTCGCAAAAGAAGAACCTCAGAGCTTCAGCGAGACACATCACGAGAAAAATCTGGAATGATTCAAAGACGGCAAACTGTTCCATGCAATCGCATCATCTTTAGTGGGACAGGGCGCCAGTGGAATGTGGCTCCTGGCCAAGCATTTTTTGGGAGAGGCTGAGCTCCTAGCACTCAGGGCTTCCTTCTCCTCTGCTTCAGTGACCCGCAATCTGAAGCCCTCAGCCCGTGTCCGTCCAACTCCAGCCAGGCTCGAACTTCCAACAGAATTGCTTAAAGGGACATCTTCAAGCAACCGACACGCATTTTGAAAATGCGATAAAGAGCCGCATCCAACACCTCGAGAGATCTTATGCGAAGCAACTCTGCAGAACGCAGATCTACAAGTGAAGTCTAGGTGGTATTGAAGAGCTTCAGCATCGCAAGTCGGGGCCCAAGCTTTGAGGTTGCAATACTTCTTGAAGATATGTTGCTGCCACACCCTGGGTTGCTGAAGCAACGTGTAATGAGCAGATCTTCAAGGCAGCCAGTTTAAAGAGTCGTATCCAAAATATCCAAGGAAATGCTTTCAAGCACCTCAACGGGCAGGTTTCATCCAAGAGAAAGCTGTGCGCCAAGTAGATCAGCAGAACGCAAACATGGGCTGCCTGAAGAACCGATCCATGGCCAAGAACACGCTTAGAATCGTTCAGAGCTACTGACACATGAGACATGACATTCCTCACTGTGATTGAGCCCGTTTGACAGCATGTATAGTCCAGCATCCGCAGAAAGTTGTGCCCCAAGCCTCATAGTCACTCATCTTTTGCCCAATTGAAGTGAAGGCGCCTGAGAGACAATGTGAAAGAATACAATAGAAAAAATAAGGTAAGAGCCCCTTCAATAAGGCCCAGGCTTCTTCAAAGGCTATCTTATTAAAGAGGCCCATACCCTCGTTCTTTATCTTTTCATTGAAAGAATACTTGTTAATAGTAGCTTCTTGCTACTAGTAGTTTGGCCAGGAGCTACTAGCTCCTAGTAGCGATGTCAGGAGCTACTAGTAGCAAAGCCCTTTGTTCCTAGAATACCAAAAAGGACTCCCGGATATTCCCGGTGGAGTTCCTACCGAGACCATGCAGGCTGAGGAGCTGCGAAAGTAAACACTTGCATATGCCAATGTCAGAACCACATCCGCATAGTGATAATCGCAAAGATGCATGAGGCGGATGCCCTGCAGTTCCACAAGCTGCAGGAACTGCATTGAAGAACATAACAAAACCTCCATGAGTTGCATGAAACCCATGCTTCAAGGAGTTGCATGAGGGCCTGTAGGACCTTTTTGTAGAGAGTGTCGTGCTTCGCGTTTGGATTCTCGAGGAGTTTCTCTCCAAGCTCCGCTGTGAAGCCGTTGATTAATCCAGCAAACCTCCAAAGAAACTACAGTCTTCAGTGGAAGCCCCAATGGTCCAAACATCGCAATTGGCTCTGAAATGTTGAAATAAAGATAAATGCATCCGACGCTGGGTCTGTCGACACCTCCAAACAAGGACAATGTCATCCTTGTAATGTGCGTACCTCCACACAGTCCAGCACAACTGCCTGTCGTATCTCTTTTTGAAAGGAAGCGGCGCACTTGCCAATCTCAGGCTTGCAAGAGAGGATGTCATCAGCCTCGTCACCATTCTCAATTGGTCTCTCCTGTCATCCAAGCAATCTGACACCAGTCTGTTGCGGTTCATCGCTTCCCATCTTGACTCTTTTCAACAGTCTGTTCGGGCCAACTTGCATTGCAAAAACATATATTGTTTAAAATATGTAACATGTACATAAATATGTATACATTAGTATGGCTTGCGGGCACCAGCACCTTCGGCACTTTGCAGGATCGATGGCCACGTGGTGCTGGAATGGCACCAAGTGCTACGACGACATCGATGTCGTGTGCAAGCCTTGAAACCGCTCAACAACCGCAGTTAATAGTCGCCCAACACGGAAAGAAAGACATAAGGAAGTGAAGGCAACAAAGGACGACATCATGGGAAATCACTGGAGGGGAGTTCAAGCTTCGGCCCGAAATCAGTAGCAGTGAAGATTGATTCTCGGCTTAAACAATTAGCAACATGGAAAGGTAGCAAATGGTATCGGTATCAAGCACACAAGGATAAATGGTCTGATAGGAAACGGTAAGAAGTAAGAAGTGTCGACCTTGCCTTACGCCACCTCCTGATTGAGGTAGAGCATCATCCAGAAGTGAATACCTTCATTGTCGGGTATCGCACTGGCGCTGGTGAATGACATGTCCATGATCATTGCAAACACTGGGCCCCCCAACCCTACATCATGCTGCAGAAACTTGAGTGCTCTGTCAAGCTTGGAATGAACCTGCGAGTTAGCAGCTTGCAGGCATCAAGGGTGCAGAAGGTACGTGGTACACATGCACCAGCTGAGTAAGCTGTTGACCCTTCTATAGTGGACTGCAGCAAATAAGCCTAGCCAAAGCACCTCGGAAATTGCCAGCTCATCTTCGGTTTGTTGCGGCAGCAACGCAAACCTGCATTTGCCACACAGAGATGGTTGGGGAACATTGTCTCACGGAGATCATATTTTTGTACATGTTGTGCATCGGTTTTCTGGTGTTGGATGTGAATATCATGAAACGAGCTAATCAAATGCTACCAATGCGACGATATGTCGTTCTTTTGCGACGGCGTCTTCAGCGTAGCAGGGACGTTTTGCGTATGCTACAACCTGCATTGGCCCATCCCCAGATCAACAGGCAACACCACTCTGAAGCAACTTCTCTTGTCCTGTGCAAAATTGTACATGGCTTTCTTCTATGTGCCACACACATGTGCCTGCAGTCCTTTGGACGCGAGGATGTCTCAAACTTCTATACCTACTGAATCCGTTTCAGCGAATTGGTGAAACAGTCCATGCATAGGTGCTTGCCTCTTATGAAGCAAGTAAGACTTTCGGTCTGTCACATCTTGGAAGCAAGCGCTATGCTAAATTCTCGGATTCGCTCAGGAGCGTTCAAAAAGCTGCAGACTCCCAAGGTACTCCTCTTCCATGGTCTTGTGCCGAGGCATCGACTGGCTCCTCAAATGTCGAGGCTTGGCATTGCCTTCAACTGAGGTTTGGAGCATCGACTGCTGTCCTTCGAGGACATACTCCTCATTGAGAGTAGTCGACCGGCTGGCCGAGAGCTCCCAGGTTGGCCCTGGAATCAAGATTCGATGAGCGATGGCCTCCAAATTGGATTCTTACCCCGGAGATTGTATAAGTTCCGAAAGAATCTGGGAGAGCTTCTTTAAAGGAGTCTAGTCTAGACTAGCTTCCTCGCTACTACTTAACCTACTTAAACTACTAATTATATAGCTAATCCTTCTCAGCTCGCCTCACGGCCTACCCCCTTTCCAAGAAACATTCAAGACATGGGTTGGAGCCTTTCCCTCATCTCAAAATTTCTTCATTGAAAGCTATTGTCAAGTATATACATCATTTGTATCTGCCTGTCGACGCTGATTCGAGGAGTCACCACTGCCTTGAAAGGCACTAACTAACTCTCCCATGAACACAAAAGTGTGGTTGTGTGATTCAGTCTGTTTAGTTGATACACGAAAAGAAACTAGTCACTGAGTTGTTCAGAACTTCGCTTCTTTGGTTTCTCTTGAACGAAATCTTCTGAGTTCCTCGCTACTGGTGAAGAGATTTGTCGAAAAACTGCGTATCCCGGCGACACAGCCTTGGTCTTCCATGAGGTGCAGCCGACAAATTGGTGCAACTTTCCAGGGTCCCTAGCGGGGGTTCGGGCTCCTGCTGATGCTCCCGGCGTACCTCCGCCACTTAGCTCACTCATGACATGCTGGGAACAAAAGAATCGAAGAAAGCAACGAAAATTAGTCCAGCTGGAGACCCCAATAGCAGCTACAAACTGGGACATAAGCAAAACCTGCAAACAGTTGCTGTTTTCAACACACCGACCATCTCTTCCTTGGACACCATCACAACATGACCCGGAAACCATCACAACATGACTGGCCATCAGAACATGACCGGGACACCATCACAACATGACCGCGACACCATCACAACATGACCGGGACACCATCACAACATGACCGGGACACAGCCACAACATGACCGGGACACAGTCACAACATGACCGGGACACCATCAC